AAAATAAAAGTGCTAGTGATGGTGATACACAGAATTCCAAAGATTCCAAAGATTCAAAAGTGGAAGAAAAGAAACCGGAGTTAAACATGGATAGAGATGTATTAGTGTGTAATCGTTATGAGACTGCCATGAGTACAGCATATAGTTTTCTATCAGTGTTCCTTCAAAAAACGGGCAGCAAAAGTGAGGAGATCGATTATCGACCTCTGTTTGAAAATTTTGTTCAAGATCTCCTTGCCACAGTGAACAAGCCTGAATGGCCAGCTGCAGAACTACTCTTGTCACTCTTAGGCAAACTTCTAGTACAAAAATTCAGCAACAAAAACACAGACATGGCCCTTAGGGTATCATCTCTGGACTGCTTGGGGGTAGTGGCAGCAAAGTTACGACGTGATGCTGTGTCTTCCCAATTGGAACTTGAAAATATTAAAAGTATAATCCAAGAAGTCAAGGAGGAAGAGAATCGTGATGCGCCCATGCTTGAAGATGGCTCTCCTCCCACTGAAAATGGCACCACAGGTCCATCTACACCATCCAGTAAGAAGAGCAAAAAGAAGGTAAGAAACCGGAAGGTTTATACAAAGTACACAAGGCATGATTTTGATCAGATGTTAGTAGATTAATATAGTGGATTTGCCTAGGATGACTAAATATAAAATGGAGAAGAATCTCCTTCTTCTCTTGTCTCCCTCGTCGACCCTCTTTTCTCTCCCTCCCTCCTTCCCCTCCCTTTTCTTTCTCTTTTTGCACTTTGAAAGAAGTGAACAACTGTTAGTGTGCACTACTTGATTGTATGGGTACTTGTCACCTGGTTTTTGGGCTGGTTTACCATGATGTAATCAGATGTTATCTGGCATGATTGGGTTAAAGGTAGAAAAAGGATTTTTTTAAGTACTATAAATATTTTAAAGAAAATTTAGATTCAAGTCTGAAAGTGTATTTATTAATGTTCTGGGTTAACTGTATTGCAAATGGATAATGATTTGAACATAAATTCTTTTCTTGTCAACCTCACCAATGACTTTTTAAAGCTTGGATTTTCAAATTAACACCCCTACGTTGTTCTATGCAGATCTCAAATCTCATTCAGAAAATTTGTTGATAAGTGTTATATATATATGTATATATATATATATATATATGATATGATATGATATGATATGATATGATATGATATGATATGATATGATATGATATGATATGATATGATATGATATGATATGATATGATATGATATATAATATAATATAATATTTTAAGATATATACACTAAAATTACCTCTTTGTCTGCATTAATATATTAACTGAATATCATCATCAAATGTTTTCAAAATTATTTAATAAAAAATAGGAAAATTTGCAAGTTTTGAAAATAGCACTTCAAAAATGTTTCTGAATGAATTTTCAGTGCCAAGCAGCTATAGTGACTCAAAAGAGCAGACCTATGTATTTTACTATATTCAAAGCCTGGCAACTGTGAGGAAAGTGATAACAAACATCGTCAAAAAACAAGAATAGTTGACTAGTTACTGAGAACATGTAAATTGGATACTTGAATAGTCAACTGTTCCTAGAAATACCAATGATTCCCATAAATTTAGTAAATGTTGCTTTAAAAAGTTTGTTTTATGTATTACTTTTTCTTTTTCTTTCTTTTCCTCTCTTTCTTCTTTTTCATCTTTCTTCTTCTTCTTCTTCTTCTTCTTCTTCCCCAAATCAAAAAACAGTATTTTCTATCATTAGTTGATATAAAAACTAAAGCACATGTCATTACATTAAAGGAATTTTGATGTTAACAGTGGCTGAAAACACAAATGGTTTTGTAAAAGGAAATTGAGATGGAAATTGCATATTATCATATGTAAAAATAATAATAATAATAATAATAATAATAATTGGAAAAAAATATATATTATACAGTTAACAAAGTAATTAGCATCTCATTTCCTTGTGCCTTTCACATAAAATTATTTCCAATGAAAACGGTGCTGTACTAATACAATATTATTCAAACTTGCTTATTTCAAAGCCACAGACCAGAACTTTATTAGTGCATACATGGCATGAAGACATGTGGACCCATTTGCTACCCCTGTTTACATGTAATTTATGTATTTTGGTCTCCCAGTAACTCTATGGTAAATTGATGCCATCCCTAAGAATCGAGCCAAAGAGTCAGATGCTCAGGGATCCTTATCTACCTAACTGATGTTTTCATATACCCTCACTATCCCTAAGTAAGAGTACCCTGTGTCATGCAGTTTTGCATTTATAGTTCTGAATGGTCTAATAACAGTAACAGCTTATTAGACTTTGACTTCAGTATCCTCTGAAATTAATGACAGTGACCCATGAAAAATACATTTGTACTGTTTTAAATTACCACCAAGAAAGTAGTTGCAGTATTTTTTGTAATTATGTGCAAGGCTTGTTTATGTTCCTTGGTTCAGTTAAACTAAATGTAGTGAATGTTGTGCTTAACTTAATATTTGTATATTGTATGTAGAGAAATTGGTTTATAATTGAAGGTAATTCTTATGGAGAAAGTTTTTTTTTAAGTACTCTAGCTCTCCAACATTTATGGCATACATACATGAGAAACAGTCTGTGTAGTTTTTAATAACCTTCAGATAGTTTTCTTTTACTTTTCATGTTCATTTTTATTTTCTTGTTTCTTGACTTTACCCTGTCAACCTAAATTGGTAGTGTTCTTGAGGTATTCTGTACATCTGGTATTTGGTTCCCTTTGTATACAGCTATTGCTACCTTTAAATGATTATCCTTGCATTGTGCAGCAACATGATAAGGGAAAGTTCAATTGCCAGACAGGTTGCCCACACTGCAGTCCTTCTCATTATTCTTCCATAAATTAAAAAAATATATATATTTGTGGAAGTTGTACAATTTAAAGCATGGGGTGTAGTAGATGGTTAATAGGGATCAAAAAAAGCATGGGAAGATATTGTAGGATAGTTTGATAGACATTCATCAATATTCCTATTAACCCATTCCCGCCGGGCATGCCATGCCATGGCCACCCCCCCCCCCCCCCCCCCCCCCCCCCCCCCCCCCCCCCCCCCCCCCCCCCCCCCCCCCCCCCCCCCCCCCCCCCCCCCCCCCCCCCCCCCCCCCCCCCCCCCCCCCCCCCCCCCCCCCCCCCCCCCCCCCCCCCCCCCCCCCCCCCCCCCCCCCCCCCCCCCCCCCCCCCCCCCCCCCCCCCCCCCCCCCCCCCCCCCCCCCCCCCCCCCCCCCCCCCCCCCCCCCCCCCCCCCCCCCCCCCCCCCCCCCCCCCCCCCCCCCCCCCCCCCCCCCCCCCCCCCCCCCCCCCCCCCCCCCCCCCCCCCCCCCCCCCCCCCCCCCCCCCCCCCCCCCCCCCCCCCCCCCCCCCCCCCCCCCCCCCCCCCCCCCCCCCCCCCCCCCCCCCCCCCCCCCCCCCCCCCCCCCCCCCCCCCCCCCCCCCCCCCCCCCCCCCCCCCCCCCCCCCCCCCCCCCCCCCCCCCCCCCCCCCCCCCCCCCCCCCCCCCCCCCCCCCCCCCCCCCCCCCCCCCCCCCCCCCCCCCCCCCCCCCCCCCCCCCCCCCCCCCCCCCCCCCCCCCCCCCCCCCCCCCCCCCCCCCCCCCCCCCCCCCCCCCCCCCCCCCCCCCCCCCCCCCCCCCCCCCCCCCCCCCCCCCCCCCCCCCCCCCCCCCCCCCCCCCCCCCCCCCCCCCCCCCCCCCCCCCCCCCCCCCCCCCCCCCCCCCCCCCCCCCCCCCCCCCCCCCCCCCCCCCCCCCCCCCCCCCCCCCCCCCCCCCCCCCCCCCCCCCCCCCCCCCCCCCCCCCCCCCCCCCCCCCCCCCCCCCCCCCCCCCCCCCCCCCCCCCCCCCCCCCCCCCCCCCCCCCCCCCCCCCCCCCCCCCCCCCCCCCCCCCCCCCCCCCCCCCCCCCCCCCCCCCCCCCCCCCCCCCCCCCCCCCCCCCCCCCCCCCCCCCCCCCCCCCCCCCCCCCCCCCCCCCCCCCCCCCCCCCCCCCCCCCCCCCCCCCCCCCCCCCCCCCCCCCCCCCCCCCCCCCCCCCCCCCCCCCCCCCCCCCCCCCCCCCCCCCCCCCCCCCCCCCCCCCCCCCCCCCCCCCCCCCCCCCCCCCCCCCCCCCCCCCCCCCCCCCCCCCCCCCCCCCCCCCCCCCCCCCCCCCCCCCCCCCCCCCCCCCCCCCCCCCCCCCCCCCCCCCCCCCCCCCCCCCCCCCCCCCCCCCCCCCCCCCCCCCCCCCCCCCCCCCCCCCCCCCCCCCCCCCCCCCCCCCCCCCCCCCCCCCCCCCCCCCCCCCCCCCCCCCCCCCCCCCCCCCCCCCCCCCCCCCCCCCCCCCCCCCCCCCCCCCCCCCCCCCCCCCCCCCCCCCCCCCCCCCCCCCCCCCCCCCCCCCCCCCCCCCCCCCCCCCCCCCCCCCCCCCCCCCCCCCCCCCCCCCCCCCCCCCCCCCCCCCCCCCCCCCCCCCCCCCCCCCCCCCCCCCCCCCCCCCCCCCCCCCCCCCCCCCCCCCCCCCCCCCCCCCCCCCCCCCCCCCCCATGGCCAGTGTGAGATTACTTGTTAGATTGTTTTCACACATAGATGGCTACACTTGTACTAAATCCCCAATGAGCCAGTTACGAGTACCGCCTGTCTCGCCCGTTCACCCTTTTCTTTGATTTACGAAATATTTTACGTTATCTTATTTTGCTGTTACTTATGTTAAAAAACATTATAAAAATTACAATGTTTATGATAAAAATAACACCATCGATATTCATGGCACTAGTGAAAAATACGTTTTTCCCGCTATTTCAAATCAGGCGCTAACAGAGCCATCTATGGGCAGACATTTAACAAAAAAGTATAGAAAATAGGCACAGCATTTTCCCCATTTTTTGTTCATTTTCCCCGGCGGCAATGGAATATTGTATTACAACTAGGTAGGTAGAGATTACAGAATATGTAGTTGAAGCATCTGTTGTCAGAGGTCTGAGAAAGGGCCCATGTGTGTAAAAAGGTTATGAACCATTGATATAAGAGGAGGAATGTGTGGTATTAAGACTCCATCCCTCTTTTTTGTAATGTTATTATGCGTAAATTGTTTTTGCTGTTTTGCCATTTTCTAAGGTTTATATTTGTTATTTGTAATGCATTGTCAAGATAATAATAGACTGTTTTCTTTGAGAACACTCCATATTATCTCTTTAGGTAGTCTACAACTTGATGAAATAACAATAAGTGGGTTTTATATATATATATATATATATATATATATATATATATATATATATATATATATATATATATATATATATATATATATATATTCAATTTTCTGTAATACACCCTGCACCTCCAGTCATGGTGGGCAGGAATAGGATCCCAAGCATGGAAGCAGTGTCCTTGAGCCATCACCCTCCCAAGCATGACTCACGGATGGTACATTCCACCTTGTGTAGCAGTGGAAAGCATGGAAGGGTCCTTTCCTAACTGCCACCCACCATTCCATGACAATATCTCATGATGAGTCATTCTTATCACCCCAGCCCTCAGCCAGATTTTTTTGTGACACATTCTTTGTCGTGTCATTAATTTGTTTTGTTGTTATTTAACATTTATTATTTATTTAACATTTTTGATCTGCTTCATGATGTAGATCACATTCCTGGTGGATATTATTTCAGTAGGTGTTGATCACCTAAAATATTATAGATTATTTTGTATATAATTGAATAGTAGATTATATTCTAGTTGTATTGAAAAAGCAACTTGAAATAACTAAACTAAACTTAAAAAAAAAGAGAATACAGCATGTCCAGAGAAATCAAAAGCTAGATTATTTTTTATGAAACTGAGTGTCAAATAGAATTCCAAAATGAAATGTGAACCATAAAGGTGTTCTCTTTAATAAGTGTTAATATAATTGATGATATTAATGAAAGACAGTTGATACTCTGGAAACCCTGAGTAGCAATTTTTTCCCCTTCTTTTTCTCCTTCTCTTTCTTCATGCCAATGACAATGCAGTGTTGAATCGGCTCTTATGATGGATGACTAAAGGAGTAAAGCATTTGATGTATTTGTTTTTCTTTATCAGAAGGGTAGTAGTGAAAAGGCCAAAGAAGCAGAGGCTCAATCAGATGAAGAGGAGGAGAGGACCATGTTTTTGCAGAGAGTCCTCTTGGACTGGCTTGCTGTAAACTCAGGAAGTGAGACAGCACTCTTGCATGCTCGTCATTTCTACATCGGGCAGTGGTATAGGGAAGCTTACACAGAGATTATGCGTCAGAAGCAAGGACCATTACCACAGTCAAATACTCGAAAAGGAGCTAGCCACAATAAAAAGAAAAGAAAGAGAAAAGGTAAGATAACACTCACATTCTAGTAATAGTTTACTGATACAATGAAAGGATGTACAGGAAAGCACTTGAATATGGCATATTCATGTGTTTTCCTCTAATTCCCATCATTGTTCTCTTGCCATTTGCTATATAAATATATAGATAGATAGGTAGATATAGATATATATATTATGTAGATAGATATAGATATGGATATATATACATACATACATACATATAGATATATATCTAGTGATTAGAAATCTATGTTAAAAAGGATTAACAAGCAACTATCTTAATATATCATTGCATCTTGCATACATTTCTTTTTCATATGATTTTCAATAATCTCTCATTAGGAGATGAGAGTGAAGAAGAGAGCACAGGTGAATCTGACGATGATGATGATGACGACGATGTTAAGAAGGGCCAGGTTGATGAAGCTCTTGCTGCTGAGGTCACACAGTTAGCAGAGAGGCGTAAACTCTTCCTTCTTACAAAGGTAAGTTATTGCTATACTGTATTTTGATGTATCTCAATTTGAAACCAATACTTTGCTAGGAGTCCTAATTTCCGCTGCATTTGCTTTGTGATAAATCCATATGATGTCATTTGTTTGGAGTGTTGTACTTAAGATTCAAGAAAAGTAAATCTTCAAAAGTTGATAATTAACTTTTTTTTTTTCTTTGGAATATTTATAATTGTTTTGATGATTATTCTTGTTTTGTATAGGTCCCAGCCTTCCCACCTGCCTCGCCAGGAGCAAAAACACAGACACTTCAGACCCATATTGGCTATGAAAATGCTGAGCTCATTACCAGATATTTAGCCTCTAAGAGACCATTCTCTCAGAGTTTTGATATGTATCTGAAACAGGTAGGCCATGTACATAGATGCACCTCATTGAAAAATATATTTGTTTCCAGTGAGACAGCATGCAGAATATTTATTTAATGATGATAAACTATATATTGTAACAGTGATTTTTTATAGCAGTTTTTTTCTTTCTTTTCTATTCTTTTCTTTTTTTCATTTCTTAATTTCATGAAGACTATAATGATTAATATCTCTGGCAACAGATTTTGAGAGTATTAACAGAGTCAGCCATTGCGGTGCGCACGAAGGCCATGAAGTGCCTGACTATGGTGGTAGAAGCTGATCCAGGAGTTTTGTCAAGGAATGATATGCAGATGGGTGTGCATCACTCATTCTTAGACCACTCCACCTCTGTAAGAGAAGCAGCTGTTGACTTGGTTGGAAAATTTGTCCTATCACGCCCAGAAGTCTTGAACACATATTATAATATGATTGCTGCTAGAATTTTGGTGAGTTCCTTGTTACATGCAAGATCTACTGTATATCCTTTTTTACTCAGTGTAAAGTTTAGTTCTTTATAGCCTGATCGTGGTATGGAAAGAGTGTTGGAAATCACAATTTTTCTTTCTTTTAGGACACGGGTGTTAGTGTAAGAAAAAGAGTCATCAAGATTTTAAAGGATATCTGCCTAGAGTGTCCAGACTTCAACAAAATTCCAGAGATTTGTGTAAAAATGATCCGAAGAGTCAATGACGAGGAGGGTATCAAAAAACTAGTTCAGGAGGTCTTCCAGGTTAGTATATAAATGCTTTTCATATTCTGCTATACTTTCAGTGATAAAATGTGAAAATGTTATTAATAAATTACCAGGTTCTATTTATCCATTAGTTTACTTATTTATTGATTGATTGATTCAATGAATACTTGACACTGTTGTATTTACAAATTACTAATTGGTATCTACTAGAAATGTGTAATAGACTCCTGTCTTTTTCTTTATAGCAGTTATATTATCATAAGACTAGAGATTTGGTTTTCACATACATGATAATCAAATTATTTAAGGGATATTAATAAGAAAGTTACAGGGAATAAAAGTTGATTTTTTAAAAATGTATAATTAAAAGTAATAGTGTACATATTACTTTGATTTTATGTTATTTTGTAAACCCATCTCACTTTCAACTTTCAGAACATGTGGTTCACACCTGTGCGAGAGAGACCACAATTAGACGAAGAGTCATTATTGAGAAAAGTAAACAATATCACAGAAGTGGTTATAGCCTGCAAAGATACTGGCTTGGATTGGTTTGAACAGCTATTGCACAGTGTAAGTTAACTTTCATGTCGACTGTGATAATGTCTTTTTAATGTGTTACAACCTTTCTATATTCTCATTTCTTTTTTCTTTCAAGAGTTTGATTATAATATGAGTTTTTTTATTTCCAAACCAACAGATGTTTCGGCCAAAGGAAGACAAAGATGATGTTACAAAGGTCAATACAGAACCTCCAAAGTCATTAGTAACAGCTTGCAAGCAGATCGTAGACTGTTTGGTGAGACATATCTTGGTGCTGGAAGAGGGAGACCTGGAGAACCAGCCTACAGATCAGCCAAGAACCACATCACAGCGTCTTTTGGCATGTCACCAGACACTCTACCTCTTTGCTAAAATCCGTCCCCAGCTTTTGGTGGACCATGCTATTACACTGCAACCATATTTGGCATGGAGGTGTCGGGTAAGTTTTTTGTTTTTTACGTCTTTGAATATTTGATGATGAATAAGAGTTAGGATGTAGATTTGTCATTTAAGTTATTTATATATCTAACTTTTTCCCTCCATTAATGCTTATAATTTCCATTCTCAGACGCAAGTGGATTACACAATGATTGGTGTGGTGGCTCGAACTTTAGAATTGGTTGTGCCTTTGATGGAACACCCTAGTGAGACTTTCTTGTCTCAGCTAGAAGAGGATGCGGTCAAATTAATCTTACAACATGATCGCACAGTTATAACATCTTGCTTGGCTCTTCTAGGTTCTATAGTCAACACTGTCACTAAAAACTACAGATTGATCAAAGATTGCTTTAACAGGTAAGAGTGTATTATTAGATTTTTTTTTTTTTTTTTTTTTTTTTTTTTTTTTTTTTTTTTTTTTTTGGCTAATTGTTAGGTTAAAGGTATTTCATTGATTGTATGTAATGAGGTTAGGCCATTAGTTTATTAATTATTTTTTTACAGGTTTGTAGAAAGAAAATTAAGCAAGCAAGTTTAGGATATGTTTCTGATGCAGAAAGAAATGAGAAAAAAAAGTGGATGACTTTTCTAAGTAAATTGTATATAGAGAAACCATGAAACAGATACAGTAAAAGAGAATGTCATTGAAAACAGATGCATAGATTGCCAAACAGAATTGGCTAGGTGCAATAAACCCCCATGTATACAATGAGTTTCAGTAAAGTTTCTGCATTATTTACCCAACCGCAACAGACTTTTCACCAGCCTCTAGTTGCCAAGCAAATACTAGCTTGCTACAAATGCTCACATGCACATTTGCTAAGAAATTGGTAAAAAGCACCTTAATTTTGACAGAATAATGTCATTTCATACTGGTTAAGATAGAAAATAATTTTTATTCATATGCTGAAGTTTTTTTTATCTTCATTTAAACTCTCCTTTTCATTTTAGGTATCACAGCTTTATTTCTGACTACAAAAGGCTGAATGAGGAAAACCCAGAAAATCCTCGACTCGAGAATTACAAGCCCTTCTTCAGAAGAGCTCTCTATACCATTGGCCTCCTGCTGAAACACTTTGACCTCAAGAACCAAGTAGTGAGATGTGGGCTGCCGGTAAGTCACAAAGCATTATGTGAAGACCAATGGTACATAGTTTTTTTAGCGATTTGAAGTTTAGAAAATCGGTTTCTGTTATAATTGTCCATCTATATGTATATGCTGTTTTCTTCTTGTTCTTGTTCTTCAAAACATTCAAACTTGTGTAAATGAGTATGATGTTGGGACAGTAATAAATGTTTATATCTTGTGTCCACCATATCATTTGTTCTATGATATACCAGTGTAAGTATTCTTTTACCAATTTCTCTCTCTCTCTCTCTCTCTAAAGGATAACATCACCGAGCAAGTATTTGAGACCTTGATGTACTTCATGGGTTTGCCAGATATAAACTTGCAGTACTGTACCCTTCAAGCTGTAGGGTTTGTTTGCATACGCCACTACGAACTGATGATGGGGTCTCGCCTAAAGCAGCTGTACCATATGATGTTACTCGACCCGTCCGTTAACACCAAGCTGCGCATCCAGACCCTACAAAATGTGGAGACTTACCTCCAAGAGGAAGAAATCAGGATGATCAAGCAGGATCAAGAGTGTAATTTTTTTTTTTTTTTTTTTTTTTCTTTCTTTCTTTCTTTTTTTCTTTTTTTTCTTTTTCTTTTTCATTTTCTTTTTTTTCTTTTTATCTATACACAAAATTTATTTATTGTCCACTTTTCATTTGTAACCTATCAGTTCTTTTTTTTTTGTTGTGTCCAGTCCCTATTAATGAACTTCTTTCTTTTGAGGCCTATTCCTAATAATGAGTTCTGTGATGTAAACAAAGGTTGTGGTGTATGTAGATACAGAAAAGTATATTTATGTTTGGAGTTTTTTTAACTAAAAACCTTTATTTTTCTATTTCAGGGGCAAAACAAAAAACTCGTGAAAATTTGAAAGAAATGTGTGATGTTCAGTCTGGTATGGCATCAGCAATCATCCAAATGTATCTCAAAGAGGTATAGTGTGTATTTGTTGTTGATGTAGATTTACAGATTACCTTAGTGTTATGTGGTAAAATATTGAGGAGGGATATGTAAGTAACAGTGGCATTTTAAAGACAAGTCTTGATAAGAGAAAAATGTGAACTGACTAGTGAATTAATGTATTTTCAGGTTTTAGAGTGTGTAGTAGCTGGCTGTGTGGTTGTCCGCCACTCAGCACTACGAGTGATTCAGCTGGTGTTAGCACAAGGTCTTGTCCACCCCGTCCAGATTGTACCTTACTTGGTCTGCATGTCTACAGACACAGAGGAAATCATTGCACATTCAGCAGATAAGCAGCTGCAGGACATAGAGAAGAAATACCCAGGCTTTATTGGGATGAAAGCTATGCAAGGTTTCCGGCTGTCTTACAGGTTGCAGTCATTGATTCAACCAGCAATGCCTACACGTGGATTTCGGACCAAGGAAGGGGAACTCCCTGGAGCTCTTAATGGTTTCTTATATTCTATTATGCGCACGACCAAGCAACACAGAAGAGCAGTGGCCTTTTCCTTACTGAAGCAGTTTGAAGAGCAGGCAGTAAGTTGAATACTTGGTATTTAATGGTTTATGAATTTGCAACTGCTATTTTTCTTTTGTTTTAGTAGAAGTTATTTTCATTGTTGAGCTTAAACTAGCTATCTTGTATAATTTTATGTAAAATATCATTATATTTAATTAGGTCGTGTTATTTTTTTATTCATGATCAATATTATTGATAGTATGAAAACTGCTACATTTGAATCTTGTAAAATATCCTTGCTAGTACGATATTATCAGTACAGAATTTTATGTTTTATTTTTCTTCTCTCTTACAGCGGACCAGTTTGACTGAACTCTTGTTTATAGCAGACAATCTAGCATACTTTCCCTATCAGGTGCTAGATGAACCATTATTCATTATACACCATATAGATATAATGATCTCTGTCACGGGTACTAATCTGCTCCAGAACTTCAGGGAGGCAAGTGTTCCCATTCCTGCTTTGTTTTTGTTTTTGTTATTTTATTTGGGTCTATAAATTTCATGTTCTCTACATGCACAAAATGAATAATGACTAATTCTCCATCTTTCAATTACAGGCCCTCCTCCCACCTCCAAATGCAGAGATGAAAATAAACCCAGAAACTAGACAGCCAGAGTATGTAGATGACTTGGATGACGAGGAGGATGTAGAAGTGTATTTATCCCGCCTCCCACCTTGCCTCACTCCACTTGTGGAATGTATCAATGCCTCTCAGGGATGCCTCCTGTTGCTCATGTTGAAGGAGCATTTGAAGGAGATCTATGGCATTACAGATGGGTAAGTAAAGTTTAATGTCATAAGCATTAGTTATATTATAACAGAAGTGCTTCTTTTGCAATACTAGATTATCAGCTATATCGAAGACAAAGATGAAAACAATGTTAAAAATAAATATAGAAAGATCTTTATAGCAGCAATAGAACCTTTGTTCTTAAACAATTTATAAATAATACCATCTGAAATCTGTTACAAATAGATTTAGAAAGGTCTTCATAGCTGCAGTAGACCCTCTGTTCTTAAACAACTTGTAAATAATAACTATCTTACTGTTGTATTAGTTATTATAGAAAATATAAGAGTAAGAAATGCAATTATTTATTTTTATTTTTATTTTTATTTTTATTTTTGTAAGAACTACAAGCAACAAAAAATATGACCTAACTTAAAACTTTCATTTTAGGAAAATTTCACAGTATTCACCCTCCGACACATCGAAGCAGTATGAAAAGGGAGCTTCTAGAAAAAGTGCGTCGAAGTTTAACCCCAAAGCTATTCTAAAACGATTAAAGGAAGAACCTGTAAATGACGTTGACATGGTAGATGACACTCGGCAGAAGGTTGACCTCATCACGCAGTACCTTGATGTAAGTGCTGTTACTGATTCAACAGAATCTTCGTAATATCTAGACAAGCATAGGGTAGTATGATGTTGTGATCTGGGGGGGGGGGGGGCTTTACTGGTAAATACATATGCTATTAACAAAAATAATTTTTTGAGAGTAAGTGTATTGTACATTCTACTATTTTAAAGAAGTTAAGATGAACAGCCTGTCCCCCTGTAACTCTTTTTAACCCACCCACAATAGTGGTAATCACACCATGGCTTCGTGTCCCTCAGACATTAAACAGTTGTCCATTTATTTTGCCCTTGCTGCAGTCATTTAGGAGAAATACCCCCTTAAAAGTGGGATTGGTGCACCATTGCATGTATGCATATGCCACTCAGGGACTAAGGGTTAAAGGACTCTTTCCTCAACTATCACAGCCAGCACTAAACACACACACTACTATTTAGCTTTGAGCAAGTTTGACAGCAGACAATATTAAGATGTCATTCTAGCTTGAGTAGTTTTTGTGTTGTTGTGGGTTTTCTATTTGCATGCCTCTATGTAACATTATGATTCTGATATACATTACACATCAGACTTAATGTGTCATTTACTGTATTCACTTGTGCCTCTTTAGACCACGTGCTTATGACATCTAAAAGGCCATCAGAAAGGCAACTAGCTAGAGAAAAAGAAAAAATTATTTCGTTTTCTTGATGAACATCTCATAAACCTTTGAAACTGTTACATAAGGATTTTAGATATATTAGTTATGGTCAAATAGAGATCTTGTATTAACCCAATGGCGCCGGGTGTACAAAAGAAAAAAAAAACTCTACACTTAAACAAACAAAGGCGGCGCGCCGACTTTGAGCGCGTGAGTAGGGGACATCAGCCCGAATCACTCGCCGCGCTTTGGCGCACCGCCGGCTCGTTTGGCTGCACGCCAGCTTTCAAACTCTTTATTTACACGCCAATCGGCGTCACCCGGCACCAAGGGGTTAAAAGTGAATTGATTTGTATTTACTACACTACAATTGTTTGATGGAGTGAAGGGAGATAAGGAGCTACGAAAATGCATAGTATGAGAAATATACTTTCACCTTACCTGATTTCACCTTTCCTTGAAGTTACTAGATTTTTTTAAACAAATGCTATGAATGGCAGTGGTGTTGTTTTTATTATAGACAATATAATTACTATAATGTTATTGACATTAGTAGTGACAATGTAAAGTAACATTAATATTTTTAAAAATCAAGGAAAAGGGTTAACAGATGAGACAAGTAGCCATCTATGTGTAAAAACAATTAAGAAAGAAAACTCATGCCCGTTTGACTTGGTTTAAGTAACCAGATAATAAGTTCTTTATACTACAACTTTTCATTTAATAAAAGAGATTAGGTGAGTGCATGCACCTGCACATATGTAGAAACAATTTCAAATATCACATTCACATGTCATCAAGTCTTCATGACTTCTTCAATGATTTAGTTTTTAGTGTTATTTATTTATTTATTTGTTTGTTTATTCATATATTTACTTTTTTCCCCCAACAGTTCAAGGCACTCATGCTAAAGATTGATCCTGATGATGATGATGACGAAGATTCTGATACTGATATGGCAAAGAAATCATTCCAGAATGATGGCAGTACACCACTGCCAAATACAAGATCATTAAGAACAAACCAGGTGAATACTAAATTATATTTGTTTTGTTCTTTTTTTTTTGTAAACTTGTGATATCATTTCTCCTCTCATTAATATCACAAATTCATTATTGTATTGCTTACCTTCATTTGACTGAAATTTGATTGATGTGAGAAAGGAATATTAATGAGAGAGAGAAAAAAAGCAAGCTGCTTCCATGTAGATTTGAAGGTGGAGTCAAAGTATCTTTTTCCTTCTCTTTCTTTTCTTCATGTCCCTTTATTCACTCTTCCTTTGTTTACCCCCCCCCCCCTCTCTCTCTCTCTCTCTCTCTCTCTCTCTCTCTCTCTCTCTCTCTCTCTCTCTCTCTCTCTCTCTCTCTCTCTCTCTCTCTCTCTCTCTCTCTCTCTCTCACACACACACACACACACACACACACACACACACACACACACACACACACACACACACAATTCTTTGCATTATTCTAATAATCCCAAATACTTTGACTCTTTTCTCTGAGACCTTTCTGCTCGT